CAGAACTCCTATTGTTAGAAACATTGTGTGCAGCTGTGCTGCTTGAGCACCTTCAGCATGGTGGGTTTGCCTGCCTCAGCTAAGCCAAGTCTTTTGCCGAATCTGCAAGGACTCAGTTTCAGAGGGAAATGGCTTAGGTTTGCTAACATGCAACAAAGAAGAAAATTCAAGAACTTACTCCTACAGAGATGGCTCAGTCAGAATACTTGGCTGTGCAAACATCAGGGCATGAGTTCAGCTCTCTGGCATCTAATGTAAAAAAGCCATCACAGTGATACACATGTGTAATCTCAACACTAATGAAGCAAAGACAGTGAAGCTTCCTGGGGTTTGCTGGCCAGACAGCTCCAGGTTCAGACAGACCTTGTCTCAAAAAATAAGAAAAAGCAGAGGAAGACAGCTGACATTGACTTCTGGCCTCCATGCACAAGCATGTACATATATACACATTAACCCCTCCCCATTTCCGGAGCAATCTTTGGGGCCACCTACCTCCAACATTTTTTAAAAGTCAAATCCATGCTTGCTTCTCCCGGTTTGGCACTATTCTAAGATTCAGACTGTCCAGAAGTAAAAGAATTTGGAATTAGCTGCAGCTATGCCTTTGTGGAGTTTGAGAATGAGGATGTTGCCAGGATGGTTGTGGAAATAATGAATGCTACCATTTTGGTGACAGACTTCAGCTGTGTTGTTTCATGCCAACAGAAAAAGGACATGTAAAACTTTTTGAAGAGTAGAATGCTCCATTTCCTTAGCCATCATATCCAACAGTGAAATGGGATAATCGGAATTGGAAATGTGGGCAAAAGATAGAAGAGTGATTTAAAAGGAAACAAAAGTTACTCCAGAAGAGATTAACTGAAGAAAGAATTCATTATAGTTTTCCCCATCTGCTTTACCTTATATGAAGAAGGAGGGTTTAGGCTTACAGAAGAGAGAAAAGAGCTTCACGGGGCACTCCGAACATTCCAGAGAAGCCTGGGTCCAGCCAGGGCCCCACTTCAGTCTATATAGCATTTTTTGGAAGGGCAGAAAATCAGAAGTGGTTGAAATGAATGATGATAAAGATAATGGGATTGTTATGTTTTTAAACAGCCTGTGTCCATTGTAAAAGAAAACATCCAAGATGCTCCAACACCTATTCATTCAGGGAAACAAAGACAAAGAAAAGGCAGTCAGTGATTCTGAGTGCATATGTATAGCATGTATTTGGAAAACAAAAAACAAAACAAAACAAAAAAACTATGATGTCCCCATCATGAGGGCGGGCTAATTTTTTTTAACAGTAAAAGGCAAGCATTGACAAGACTTTCAGAGGAAAATGTACTGTTTGTTTCTGTGAGTAAGGAGAACAGTGACTGATTTTGGCTGTTGTGCCCTTTCTGAAGTCTAGAGGTGTGTTCTAGTGCAGTGGTGGGGCTTGCTCTGTCCTTATCCTGGTATCTTCTAGTTTTCAGATTTTATAGTTCCCTTTAGAGCTTATTCTAGGTGCATGGAAGGATCACCATTAACTATAGTTTGCACCACCAACGAACAAAGATTCCCAGACCCCTTTGACCATATGTGCAATGGTTGTGCACACTTTACCCCAAAGGCTATTTGAGATTTCCACATCTGATGGCTGAAGCTGTAAGATATATATATAGGAGTGAGAAGACAGCTCAGGTATTAGTTCAGGTTTGTTTTTGTAGTCAAGTACTAATACAGATTCAGAAACGGTCTGTTTTCTTTTTTTTTTAAATATTTATTTATTATGTATACAATATTCTGTCTGTGTGCATGTCTGCTGGCCAGAAGAGGGCACCAGACCTCTTTACAGATGGTTGTGAGCCACCATGTGGTTGCCGGGAATTGAACTCAGTACCTCTGGAAGAGCAGGCAGTGCTCTTAACCACTGAGCCATCTCTCCAAAAATCGTCACTTTGATTTTTGGTGGGCTAGCCTGATTTGTGGTAACTACCATTTTTGATTAATTAGTATCACTGGTATGGATTTGTGTCCCAGATTCAAATCATGACTCAAAAATAAACCTTTTTGACAGAGTTTCTATACAAGTTAAGCTTAGGGACTGTAGAGAATAATACCCTTTGGCTTATTTTTAATTTTCTGGTACCCTTGACATTTGCTTATTCCAGTTATAAAGATTACCCCCCCCATAGCCTTTTTCTGTCCCTTTCCTTTCATCGGGGACTTGAATGCATTTGCTATAGTAAAAGGTACTCTGAGGCTCATCGTTTTCTTCATTCTTTCTTCCCTCAGATTGCACTGTCCCAGTGTATCCATCTCGGCATTGCTAATTCATTCCTCTGTCTGTTTCTGCTGCTAAGCCCTTCATTCTAATAATTGTTGTTTTCAACTGAAGAATTCCCACTTGGGCCTTTTTAACCATTTATATCTCTTGTGCTCTGGTTTAAACCTAGGTTTTACTCATAGTTGGCATGTGAGCTAGACCTCTAGTCCTACAATTTGTTTTGAGACAAAATCTCACTGTGTAGGCCTGGCTGGTCTGGAATTATCTGTGTGGACCAGATGGTCCTCGAACTCATGGGGATCTGCCTGTCTCTGCCAGAGTACTGGGATTGTAGACCTGTACTTTCTGTTAATTCTTTTGCGATAGTATCTCAGTATCTCAGGCTGACTTTGAATTCCCTGTGTAGCAAGACTGGCCTTGAACTACTTACTCTCCAGCCTCTACCTCCGAACTTCTGAGATTATAGGTGTGCTTGGCTTCAGTCCTATAATTTATTTATCTTTATAATATTCTCTATTTGGACATTATTCTTGTATTTAAAATCTCTCTCCCCTTTCCTCCCTTTCCTCCCTTGTCTTTCTCTCCCTTCCTCCCTCTCCTGCCCCTCCCACTTTTGAGAGCTCTCTGTAAATGCATCTACTGGCTTCAAAGTCATTCATCTGGGTGCCTGAAGAGTCAGCCTCTGTGTGTTAGATTACTCTAGTTCTTTGGACAAGATTTTTTTTTAACTGTTTAACTTATTTAGTTAATCATACTTAATTTAATAGCTTTAGTCAGTTTAATACCTGGACTTGCTCAGAGATTGTTTTTGCTGGTTATATATGCTCACTGTCTATATAAGATAAAGTTTATTACTTCTTTTAATTTTTAGTAATTAAATGTGGCCATTTTGAGAACTCTACCCTCATAAATTGTGTTAATTTCTGTTTGTTTAGCCATTTTGTGATTTATTTTTTATGTGTGGTCTCTGAGATTTCTATTAAATTTAGTTAATAACCATCAGCTTTCATTAGACTAGGAGTCTCACTGTCTTTGCTAATAGGTTCTAAGTACATTGGGCTACACCTTGGCCTTCACTTCTTGCTTGGAACCTCAAAGTGAGCTTCAGGTGAGAGCTCAGGCATTTACTTCCTGTTACTTGAGCATTCCCCCAGCCCAGGGCTTGCAGGTGGTCGTCCAGATTCCCAGGAGTATACTGGAATCTGCTACCCCAGGCAGCTCTTTGACCAGCTTTCTCTTTAAAATGTATGTAGCCTTTTGTTTGTTCCAAGTGCTGTCTACGCCTTAGGCAGCTTCCACATTGAACAACTGCTTCTGATTATTTTCAGCAAACTCGGCTTGGGAACAAGGCTATTTGTCAGCTCAAAGCTAGTTCAAGTCAAAATAGTCTTTTGTGTGGAGTCCCCCAAGGAGATACCAGATAGTCCAATGATGACTGTTGTCTGGATATGGGGCCCTTGAAAGAATTTTGCCCCCACCCCCCATTCCTCTTCTAGTGTCTGGGTTTCCCTGTAACTACAGGTTGTCAACTTGGCCAGCACCTGGCAGCTCAGAAGCTTACTGTTCTTTTCAAGATCGGACTGGTTCTCTTAAGTAAATGCTCCCCAGATTCCTAGAAGGCTGATTAACTCCCAGAGAGCTGAAGAGCTTTGCTGGGTTGTCAGCTGTTGCAGGGCAGAGACTGCTTAGTACTCTATCTCCTTGCCTTTCTCTGATGTCCTTGATTTGTTGACCTCAGAGTTGGGGGTGGGTTGTGGTTTTTGTTCTGTTATTCCAGGATTAGAAGAGACAATGTTTGAAGAGAAATACGGCCTGGATTCTGTTGTCTTTGACATTTCTTGTCCTGCAATTTGGATGTTGGTATTTCCTTCTGCAGAGGAAGGGTGTAGATAGATTTTGCATTTCCCCATCCACAGTGTAAGGCTCTGGGAAGTGAGCACTCTTAACTGTGGCCATGCTCTGGTCCTCTGGGAAGAAAAGCACTTAGCTTCTAGAAGGCTTCATGCTTGTTACTTTTAGTTCTGCTTGGCACCAACACCTCTGTGCAAGCCGGTTCTCTGCTCGGCTTTGCTTCTTTCTGTCTTCTCTCCTTTTCTCTACCCTTCAAAGGACAGGCTCAGATTTCCTATAAACATGCTAGTAAATTTAAATTACTTAAAAGTTCCTTAAAGATGTTCAGGAAGTTTTGATGTTAATTTGATTACAGATTATTACTATTCTGTGCTTTAATGCCGTTATGAAGGTCACCACTGGAAGTTTTTATTTTATATAAAGCAGTAGAAATAGAGTTGAATCCGTTCATTGTTCATTGTCTGCCCTATGCATTTCCTTGTTTTTTTTCCCCCTCTTTGGTCTTTGGTCAGGTTCCTTAATAGCAATGCTAAATGAGCTCTGTGTGAAGGGCTTTTATAACTCAGCACTTTCCAGGGAAGGTCACTGGGGTAAAAGACACATAACCTAAAATGTACTAACTTTGTTTTATTTGAGCCATGTACTTCAGCTGGATTAAATGCATGCATTTCATTTTTAGAAATGAGTTCTATAGTTTTTTGGCAATAGTTACTTTGTACAGTGACATTATTATTACAATAATAATCTGGACTGTAGTAGAGTTTGCCAACTCATTAAGTGGGAAGACATGTTTTGTTGGTGGTAGGTGTTGAATTCCATAGTTTTGCTTCCTTTACCTCCTTTTCTTTCTGCTTCATTGTTCATATGCAATGTGTTTAACTCACATCTCTTTTTGCAGGGTGCAGTACAGGCAAAAATTAACTCAGGGACAGCCATGTCAAGAGGATTGTATCAACCAGCAACAATCTTTATGGGCTGCCAGATGTCAGCCGTCTCAAGCATGGACGATTTCAGTACAGAGCAGAAATCTAAGCAACCCACAAAGAACTTTTCAATTCCTGACCCACATTCACACCAACAGACAGCCCAGAGCAGCTGTGTGACAGACAGCTGTGTAGTACAAACTAATAGTGACACACAGTGCTTAAATAAGTCTGACAAAATAGATGGAACGACATCTCTTCAGATTGGTGAGAAAACGCCAGTCACAAGCTGTGCATTGTCTGAGGAAGAACAAACTCATTGCTTAGAGCCAGGGAGCAGCACATGTCCCAGCAAGGGTAATTTATCTGAAGGCAAGAAGTCTGCTGAGCTCCATGCCTCGGTACAGGAAAGATTAAGTCCAGAGAACAGAACCACTGATTTAAAGTGTGACAGTTCCAGCAGATCAGAGGGATCAAATGGAGAAATACTGACACAAGAACATATTGAAGTCGGGGAAGAAAGAGCTAGCCCGCTGGGCCCCACGCTATCAGTTTCAGAACACCGTGCATCTGCAAATAAGTGGGCTGGAGAGAAGCACTCTGCTTGGGATGGTTTCTCAGGTGAGATGAGAGACTGTTTGCTGAGTTTTCTTAGTGCCTACCTTTTCTGGTTATGATCTATAATTTTATCTCTTTGTCTAAAAACAAAGAAATGACTTTGTCAATGAGTTCCATTCTAATGATTTCTTAAATATGTTCAAAGAAACGGTTCAAAATATGAATTTTTAAAGGCGTATGCTTAAAATATTTTTGAGGGTTGAGGATGTTCAGTTCAATGGTAGATATATACTTACAATATAGGAGACCCTGAGTTTGTTTGAGCCTTAGCACCACTAAGTTTATACATTTTTTAAAAAAGAAACACAATTTTGAAAGATTTCAATACTATAATTGTGAATTGCTGCTGTATTTTAATGCATTTGTATGTGTGCATATGAGCATATTTATCTTGTAGAGGATATACATGTGTGTGCATATGGAGGGAGGCCAAAGGACAACAAGCCTGGCTGCCAACTTTAGAAAGGCTACCTACTTCCTTTGAAGGCTGCTCATTGGCCTAGATTTCACCAGTTTGTCTAGACTGACCAGCCAGTGGACCACAAGAATGCCCTGTCTCTGCCTCCCCAGCATTGGGATTAAAAGCGCTCCGCTCCAGCCTGCATCTGTATGTGCATCCAGGCTTCAAGCCTCTGAGGCAAGCACTTCACTGAACTGTCTCCCAGACCTGTGCTTCTACATATTTGTTGCTTTTGTTTCGTTTCTGTTTTATTTTTGAAACAATCTCACTGTGTAGCTCTTATAGGCCTGGAATTCTCTGTCTAGACCAAGTGGACCCTGAACTCATAGAGATCCTCTTGCCTCTGCTGAAATTACAGACATATATCACCACACCAGGAGGCTTCTGTACATTTTCTTAAGGAATGAAATTCTGTTCTCTTTTATTTGCATTCTCAGAACTTTGCAACCAGCAATGCATTCGTTTTCCCTCTTGCAGATGATCTTGCTCATGAGGACCCAAAGTCACAAAAGGCCTTTCTGAAACTGCAGGAAGAGCAGGAGGAGGGAAGTTCATGCAGCAGCAGCGATCTCACTGTTTCTATAAGTGAAGATGATCTGATTTTGGACACTCTGGAGTCACTGCTAAATCCAGGAGCCAAGCTGGAGGGTGAAGATAGAAGGCAGGCCTCACGATCAGTCTACACCGAGCAGCAAAGAGATCCACTCTTCACTGGTTACATTTTGCAGACTGAAAGCCCTCCTGATTCAAAAGGGAAGTCCTCCCCAGATTCACCAAGACAGTAAGCCATTCTTTTTCACATTCTGTTTAGTTCATGGTGTTTAGAGTCTATTCCACTTGGAAAATGTTACTGAGCACCCAGCAGTGATTGTGTCAGCTGCCTTGTCTTATAAGTAAACTCTCACTTGCTTTCTTCTTCCTTCCTTTCCTTTTTATAAATTTTAAGGTAGTTTTTGAAAGTCTGAGTGTCATTGAACTGTGGTGATTGGCAGTTTATAATTTTCCCAGGCAATCCCTGGTAAATTTACAAGTCACTCAATGCAACCCTTACCCATTTTTTTCCCAGCCCCCTACCATTATTCTTTAAAAAAAAAATGGTTTTAATATTTTTCTCCCATGGAAGAGAGAAATATTTAAACTTACTAGGAGTTCTACTTCGGGAACTCAGAACTTTGTATCTAATGAGTACACACTTAATCCTTGTGTTGCTTTCCATGGTGTCTCTTGTTTCCCTCACGCCATTAAATGAGCTAATACTTCTTCACTGCTAAGCCAGACTTCCTTTTCTGGGTGTAAATTTGAGAACATTGGAACCCCTGGTGTTCAGTAGAGCATTAGCATGGTACATTTTGAGCACTGACTAATGTCCTCCATAAAAGTTAAGGTATGTGTTTTTACAATTGATTGGAAATTTTGGGCTAAATAGAAGTTTTTCTATGCCCCCTGAATAGAAAACTTACTAGGGAGCCAGGTGGTGCTGGCGCATGCTTTTAATCCCAACACTCAGGAAGCAGAAGCAAACAGATCACTGTGAGTTCGAGTCCAGCCTGATCTACAAAGAGAGTTCCAGGACAGGCTCCAAAGCTACACAGAGAAACCCTGTCTTGAAAAACCATTAAAAAAGAAAAAAAGAGAGAGAGAGAAAAACTTACAAGGTCTTGAAAACAAATCTTTTGATTAAACAAACCAACCAATTAAATTATGCTAGTAACATCAGATCCTTTTAGGAGAAGAAGCCTAAGTAAAAGTTTAAGGTAGGCCTTATCGGTTTTTTGTTTGTTTGTTTGGTTGGTTGGTTGGTTGGTTTTTTTTTTTGTTTGTTTGTTTTTGTTTTTCTCTGTGGCTTTGGAGCCTGTCCTGGAACTAGCTCTTGTAGACCAGGCTGGTCTCGAACTCACAGAGATCCGCCTGCCTCTGCCTCCCGAGTGCTGGGATTAAAGGCCTTATCTTTTATAAATGATTACACTAAGACCAGGAGCACAATAGTATCACATAAACCTTTTGGGTAGTGTGCATGTGTGTGTGTATGTGTGCACACACGCACACATACAGAACTTGCACACCTAACTCCTGACCCACCCCCTCCAAACCCTTCAATTGCACCAAAATGCTGACAGCCTTTCATTCCAGCAGGGAGGGGCAGTGACTGTTAAAGTGGGTGGTCTGCACTGGTGCACAGGTGCAGAGTGCGTGCCTGCGCACAAGAGTGGTTGATGGCTGTCGTAGAAACTGGATGCCTCTGAGGGAAGCCCAGGGGGTTTCTGTTGTCATGCTTCACTCACCCAAGAGCTGCAGGTGTCCCTCATCCAGAAGCACATCAGAAACTATGACTAGGGATGGAATGGGTCTGCTTTGTGCTTATAGATGCGCTGGCTAGTTCTATCAATTTGACACGAGCTAGAGTCACCAGAGGAAATGTCTCAGTGAGACCCAGCTGGAAGGCATTTTTTTTTTCATTTAGTGATACATGGGGGAGGGTCCATCCCCTGGTGGGTGGTGCAATCCCTGGGATAATGGTTCTGGGTTCTATAAGAAGGTAGGTTGAGCAAGCCAGTAAATAGCTTCCCTCCATGGCCTCTGCATCAGCTCCTGCCTCTGGGATCCTGTCCTGTTTGAGTTCCTGTCCTGACTTCCTTCAGTGATGAACAGCAATGCAGAAATATAAGCCAAGTAAGACCTTTCCTTCCCAACGTGCTCCTTGCTCATGGTATTGTTTGGTCTCAACAATAGAAACCCAGCTAAGATAGTAAGCTTATTTTTATGACAATATGCCGAACAAGGTGGTACCTCTGTAGGCTAGGGACCAAGGTATTTCCCTAAGACTTGGTGGTTTTCTGAGGTAAAATCTCCTGCATGAATGACTTTTTCCTATAACCCTAAATCTAAATACTTTTGAATTTTGTACTACTCATTGGAAAATGTGGGCATTTAGTAATTTTTCAATATTCATGCTAATAACCTCCCCTCCTCAAAATGAAGAGGTTAGTCAGCAATGGTTATTTTCTGTCTGTGCTGTTAAATTTGAGCTTATTGATTTTCTGCGATGAAAGTACTCTCTAGAAATGAGGTTGAAGGAGGGTTTGTTTTTATTACAATTATTTGTTTATTTAGTGTGCACCTGGCGAGGGCTTGCATATGTGCATGGTGCAAATGTGGTGGCCAAAGGACAACTCAGAGTCAGTTCTCTCCTTCTCTCGTGTAGGTTCTGGGGATGAGCTCAGGTCATCAGGTTTGGCTGCAAGCAAGCACCCTTGCCCACTGAGCTTGGTGTGCTGATATATATATACAGCTTTATTAAGATACAGTTTACATGCTATTCAAGTCTCCTATTTAGAGTATGCAGTTTAGGATTTGAGTATATTACACCATTAATTTTAAATCATATAATAAATCCATAGCATGAAATTTGCCATTGTAAAATACACAATTCATTGACACTAATTATATTTAATGTATAGTTAAAATTCATACTCTAAATAATTCTTGAAAGTGGAGTAATGCATACCCCTTTTATGTCTAACTAATTTCAGTTTAAGCATATGGTTCATCCATATTCTATCATCTATCAAAATTCATTTCTTTTTATGGTTGAATAGTATTTCTGTATATGGATATACCACAAATCATTTGTACAGTTACCTGTTAATGATACTTGACTTGGTAATCAAGAGTCTGCAGAGATGGCTCAGTAATTAAGAGCACATACTATTCTTGCAGAGGACCTGAGTTCAGTCTCTAGCCCCTGGTTTGGGCAGCTCTTAACCACCCATAACTCCAGCTCCAGAGCATCCAATACCCTCTTCTGGTCTCTGAAGGTACAAACCCACACACAGACACACATATATACATAAGTAGAAAAATAAAATCTTGCTGGGTATGATGGTGTACACCTGTAAATCCAGCGCTCTGGAGATAGAAGCAGGTGGATCTCTAAGTTAGAGACCGTCCTGTTCTACATAGTGAGTTGGAGGCCATTAGGAATTGCATAGTGAAGCCTTGTCTCACAAATAAATAATATAAACAAACAAACACAAAATTCTCTCTCTCTCTCTCTCTCTCTCTCTCTCTCTCTCTCTCTCTCTCTTTTGCTCGCTCTTGCGCGTGCTCTCTCTCTCTCTGCTAAGTGAGTCAGTTTCCAGACCCACTCCCATAAATGCTTTCAGATATTGAAAGCCAGTTTATACAATTTCTCCATCATAAGTATAATAAACTCTTCTTATAAGAAAACTTGCCAAGGACTGGACAGATAGCTCAGCATTTAAAGGTGCTGGCTGCACAAGCCTGACAATCGAAGTTCAATCCTTGAAATCCACATAAAAATGGAAGGAGAGAATCAAGTCCACAAAGTTATCCTCTTACTGCTACATCCACTCTGTATGCTTATGTGTATAAACACACACATGCAAACAGAGTAAATACATTTTTTAAAATGTGGACTTGATTATTTTCAAAGCTTTGTTTCAGCTGTGATACACTCAGACCTGTAAACACATCTCTTGACATTAAAATGAAAAGAATTTAAACTGGTTGGGCTGTTGGGACTCAATTGTTTATCATTAACTTGAGCTACAATCCATGCAGCTCCTTAGGTGAAACTCACAGACCCTGACTGTGAAACATAGCCTTGTATTTATTTTTATTCGTCAAAACTCTGCATAAGCTATCATATTATTATCAAATTAGACAGTACATCTTGAGAGGGATCATTTTCTTGACAATCCACAGGTTAAAAAATGCCTGTCTGTGTATAATGGGATGTTTCCAAGAGATAAACATATTACAGGCTGTAGAGATCTCCCCACTTCCACTCACACCAGGCTAAATACCAGAGAAAGAGAGCCACAGCAAACATACAGAGGCACAGCAGAAGCAAAAGACATTCTAGGATCTGCAGTTCCTTGGCCTTGCCTACATGAGATTGGCTCATCAGAGGATTCCCTTCTGGTGAGTTGGCACCTGAAACTTCAATTGCAACTTGCTACACCTGGCAAGAATTCAACTTACAAAGAGAACTAACTGGATCCTTCCTTGCTTCGTATGAGAAACACCAATAACTGGAGTCTCTACATTCTATACTGATGCAAATTAATCAGGAAAGGCAGGTTATCAGAAAATTTAAGTAAAGTGGACCAAAGCCCTTATGATTCTGTTCAAAAGTCAGAATTACATGTTATTCTCTTGGTGTTAATAGATTTTAAGGAACATCTCAACATAGTTACTGATTTACAATATGCAGAAAGGGATATTTTGTATATTGAAACTGCAGAATTTATACAAGATGATACAGAATTGGCTTTATTATTTATTCAGTTGTAAGAAATAATAGGAGGGGCTGGAGAGATGGCTCAGCGGTTAAGAGCATTGCCTGCTCTTCCAGAGGTCCTGAGTTCAATTCCCAGCAACCACATTGTGGCTCACAACCATCTGTAATGGGGTCTGGTGCCCTCTTCTGGCCTGCAGGCATACAGACAACATTGTATACACAAATAAATAAATAAATAAATAAATGAAAAAGAAAAAAAAAGAAATAATAGGAATAGGAATCATCCCATATACATAACACACATCCAATTCCATACAGATCTGCCAAGTTCTCTAGCACAAGGTAATGCAGAAATTGATCAATTATTCATAGAAAATGTGCTGGAGGCCTCAGAATTTCCTTAAAAAAAAATCATGTCAGTAGCAAAGGCTTAAAAAAAAAAGACCCCTCCATCACATGACAACAAGCCAGACTGTTATAGAAAGATCAAATTAAAATCTGAAGGATATGCTAAAAAC